CCTACTCAGGGATGTACTATTCACATAACTACATTTTATGCTTAAACTTCAAACATAGAAAATATTCAAAGAACAGACCGACCGCACAACATAAACCATAACATATTTTGTATGAAGAAACTTAAAGCATACCCACCAAAAGGCTCTTTAACAATGGTTAATAAATAAAGGGTTTACCAATAAGATGTGTTAATTTGGAACGCCTGCTGTAACGACAGATGCCACTTTTTGAGCTGTAATTTTTTGAAATTTGACAACTAAAAACTACGCCAATAACAAAAATGGCACGAAAAACGCTTCAACAACGCTTTGAAATTATTAAAATTTACAATAAAAATGGTGAAAATCAGGAAGAGACGAAACGTAAAACTGAAACATTTTTCGGTCGTCGTGAAGCACCTTGTCAAACCGCAATACAGAAATCGATGGAAAAATGGAGCTGTTGAAAGAAGTTAGTGGTGTGAAGAATAAACTATATACACGTCGCTGAAGAACAACAAAGTGTTGAAGAAACCCCAAATTTGTTCATTCCCGTCGTACTTTGGAGTTGGAGTTGGGTATTCCACAAACGTCATTACAACGTATTTCGCTTAATGTCTTGGGTCTTATAAGTCTTAAATAAAGTTTAGTTAAGAGAAGAACTCAAGCCGGCCGATCAGCAACAACGTCATGCTTTTGCTAATTGGGTCCTCGAAATACAGGAAAATGATTCGTAATCCCATCGGAAATCCATCTTGACTGATGAGACCCATTTCCACCTCAATGGCTATGTCAACAAGCCAAACTGTAGCATATAGAGTTTGGTAAACCCCAGATTTATTGTTGAAAAGCCTCTGCATCCTCAACAGTTTGGTGCAGTTTATGGTCTGGCGAGGTCATTGGACCTTACTTTTTGGAAAATTGGACTGGAGCAACAGTCACAGTGAATGGATTGCGATATCGAAGGATGATTCATTAATGGCTGGAATTGTATGCTATTGATCTGGACAACGTTTACTTTCAACAAGACGGTGTTACCTGCCACACAAGCAACGAAATCGTCGATATTTTGAGGAAAAAATTTCCGGACCGTGTAATCTCTCGAAGAGGTGATCGCTATTGGCCACCGAGATCTTGTGGTTTAGCACTTTGCAATTTCTCCCTTTGGGTACACGTGAAAGATTAGGTCTACGCCAAAAGACAAATGTCGATTCAAGATCTCAAAAATTGAATTCATGAAGCTATTGATGGCTTACAGCAGCCACTTGGCTATTTGGTGAATGAAAAGTTCATTAAATGGATACGGTGCTGTAACCACAGCCGTGGCGGCCATTTGACTGATATAGTTTTCCATTATTAAACGCATATCTTTCTCGCTCCATTGAAATAAACATTCGAACAATTATCACAAAAAATGTCATTTTTCTTTGAATATCAAAATACAGCTTTTATTGGAAACCCCTACATTATATTTACATATATGTATACATATGTATATATATTTATTTCCATACTTACACATTTATGTAACTTAAGAGAACCCATTAGCCTCTTTTCAGCTCCCCAGAGTAATAAAATGCTCACTGAAGGGAAAATGTTTGAAAATATTTCAAGCAGAATATGCTTAAAAAATCGCTTGTAAATGTCTAAGACGTCTCCAGCCAGTAACTGTTCACCTGTTTACAACAATTCAACTACTTTTCTTGCTACTGTTCATCAAAAGCAGTAAAAAAAAGGTAAAGAAGGTGAACATAAACGTCACGTGATTTACTTGTACTCGTTCGTATTCACCCTCGCGCTTAGCGACAAGTGAAAACATGTCGAACAACGGAGACTGTGTAACTTACATATGTACATATACAAATATATACGTACTTAAAGGTACAAAAACGTTGACGTACTTCTGCAAACGTGCTTTATGGCGTACGAAAGCAACGCACCTGTGCCATCCGCCCATTACCGTCCGTTACCGAGTACTTTAAAGTGTTTTATGAATTCGAAGTTTTGTTGCTGCTCTGTCGATGTCTATGGGGCGCGTCAAGTTGACGCCGCAGTGGGTTGTGCGTGTGTTTTTGTGGATCAATAAGCAATGAGCGCTTAGTAAGTTTGTAAAAGTGATGAGAATCGGTGGATGGATGGACGTATGTATTTGCGTGTGTGGAAATATTTTCATATGCGGAAGTTGAACAAAAATTCGACGTGTTTACGTGACAGGCCGACATTAAGGTCGACGCCATCAGGCAGGCTATTCGATGGCAAGGAGACAATAGCAAGGCCTTTCGTCCTGCCACTGACTTTGGCTTTGCCATACTTAATGGTTTATATGTATAAATAAAGTAACAGTTTTATTGTGTTTAAGGTGTGGTGTTTTTATAATGCATGCATATAATCTAATTGAGCCTATTGTGTGCTCTAGTGAGGGCGAAATTTTGTTGATACATTCATACGTGTACATACATACATACATACATACATACATTGGTTTGAACAGAACGTAAAGTAGTCTAGGTATTTAACTTGATCGCCACTCTGTTCCGCAAGTTGGAACAAACGCGAAAAGCTGATGGTTTTAAAATTACCAAATTACCCACTACACGTTTTGAACCAAAAATATCCATGTCAACTACGGCACGTACAACTGTCTTTCTTCCATTTTAGTAAAGGAGCTGGAGCTTTATCACGGCGTGGGAATTCCACCGGAACACATGATTCGGCCAACTAGTTCTTAGATATTTCCTTACCCGAAACAGGCAATAGAAATCACAGAAGAACATTTTACCTGAGAACTTAAACCGAATTTGGTCGTCGTAAAGTGACATGGAGGCGATTGTCCGGATAAAACCCCGGCCAACTTCGATGCTGTAATAGAACGCCGTTGTGGTACATGTGGGCTACCTGAGTGGCCGACAATTATCGGTAGACTTTCGAGGTAAAATGTTCAAACTCTGTTTAATTTCTACGTATGGAAGCTTCATCTCTTCCACCATATGACTTTTCTTTGACCTCATTTGCTGATGATTGCTCGATATTGGCGTTTGGAGGGGATATTGATAACTTAAGTTCGAAAGTAAATCGCTAGATCGCCTTTCTTTACCACTTCTTCACTGCAGGACCCCTACCTGTACTACAACCTACGAAAACCCCAGCTACCCAGCCAGACGAACTCGATGTGGAATTCAATGCCCTTCGAAAAATTCCGATAACTAACAATCCAAAGTTAGTGGGAGTCACATTCGACAGCCTGTACTCTTTCACTCCGGATACGACTGTAATTGCAGCAAAACTCCAGAGCCGTAACAAAATCCTCAAATCATTAGCCGTTAGCACACGGGGAAAACGCAAAGAAGTGTTGCTAGCAACATACAAGGTGGGGCCGACTTGCTGCAACCGTCGGGAGCACCCCAACCAACATACATATGAAGGAGACTGAACCTGGACATATTATATGAGGAAGGGAGTACTAGACTATACAGACTACATTCTGCAACATACAACAGACAAAAATCGAAGGGCAGGAAAGCGTGCAGAGAGGCTTTAATTTAATTAACCGAGAGTCGGCTAACTCCCGCAGAAACATTCTTCCAGCGCGCGATATTCAAAGAATCCAAGTACAGCATATTACGGACGAAGAGCGACTCTCACGACAGCCGGTTCTACGCACCGGAGTTGACCCGGATTTTATCCGGCCAAGGGCTGTCACCCTTTCGGCGATCCGCTTTAGTGAACCGCTACAACAACAACAACGGACGAAGAGCACGAACTGCCTTCTGAGACCCCCATGGGGTAGTGATTTAAGAATTTTCTCGCAGTGAGGCATGCTGTCAAAAGATAGTCGGCTCTTTATCCCGCAACGGCTCAGATTTATATCCGCCCAAGCACTGTCCTTTCGGCAACATTTCCTAAAAACTAATGGGGGGATTATTTTTGCTGTTATAACAACAGCAACAGTGGTCCGAGTATTACTAGAATATCCAGATTTTAATTGTGTCATCATTACTCGGGTCTCTAGAGGCACCTCAAGCTCTTCCTCTGCGGATCTTTAAACCGAATAAGTCGGCGTGGCTCCACGGCAGCTTTGTCTCTCATTAGCCGTGACCCAAGCCTCCACATGTGTTGGTTACCGCATTTTGCACAAGGGTTGCTCACGTTTCCATGGTGCCCGATGTGGACGCAAGAATAGCAATTAAGTATAGCCTAGCAACTGCAGCAGGATACACAGAAGCTTGACTACACCTCATCAACTTAGATCGGAAATACTCAACGTGCATATGAAATGAACCAAATTCCTTTTCGCACTGAAAGCTAACTAACTAACAACATTATAATGTACCTTCAAATAGTAACCGCGGAAACATCAAGACGTCTTTGACTACTTGAGAGGCAACCATTAGCGAGCTAATTTTCGTTCATTAATTTTTCTATGAAACACTTCAGGCCCCTTTTTTTCTGGTACAAAGATGACTTTTTCCTGCAAATTTCAAATCTTCAACACAGCCATACAAATTTTCAACCAACCTAGATTAGCAAACAAAAACCGAAAGAGGCCAAATCAATAATGTTGAATAGAAATTGTTGATTGGAAAGAAGCGCTAATGATTTTCGAAAAGCTAACCGCAAAGTTATGACGTGAAAATTGCAGTTATTTCCGCAATAAAATGAAGAAACCAAAAAAGGAATATCGAAAAGCCAAAAAGTAGAAAATCATAATAACCAACTTAAGCTATATTGACCAGTATAGGCTTAAGTGACACTCTCCAACGCATTTCACCAATACGCCGACTAGTAATTTAGCTAACAAGCACAACAACACAAAAGCCAAGCCGCCGATAAGTCGTAACCAATTGTAAATATACGCAAATTGCTGTTAGCTAAATGTTGGTTGATCACGAGTTTATGGCACACAAAACAATAATGGCATGAATGCACAGATAAATACACCTGCTTGCATACATATGCATGTGTGTGTGAATAGTGAAATTGTATGATTTTCGTAAATGGAATTGCATGCTCACAGCGCTCACCTGAATTCTTGTGTTGCTTGGAAGCTTTCATCATCTGTGATTGAGAAGACACAGAGAAAACCCTCACCGCTACGGAAATAATTATCTCTGATGGCGGCATAATCCTCTTGCCCGGCAGTATCCAATATATCTATTTGTACTTCTTCGCCATCTAAAACGACCTGTGCGCATGTGTGTGTGTGTATATAAGAGAATAAAAGAGATTTTAATGTTTTAATATTAAATTGATATAAAAAACGAAAATTCATTGTTTCCTCATACCTTTTTCCTATAACTATCTGCTTTGGTTGGTTCATAGTCCTCCACGAATTCGTCGTACATGAATTGCAGTGTTAGTGCTGATTTGCCAACACCGCCACTGCCCACCATTATCACTTTGTGGAGCGCGGGTCCGACTGTCGGTTTTTTACTCATTTTATTTGTTTGTTTTTTTTTCTGTTTATTGTTGATGTTGTTGCTTTTCCAACTGCTACTTCCTGTATGTATGTATGTATGTAATTTCCGCTGATTTCCGCACTAATTTTCTACGCCACAAACTGCGAGGTGAGGCTGTTATTAGTGCTTTTTAGTTGCAGTCTTTGTCTAAATCCTTGAATTGCCTGCAAAAAAAAAAGAAAAAGAAAAGCAAAAAAATGTATTAATTACACAACAATAAAAACAACGCGCAACTTAAAAGATAAAATGGATTAGAAAGTCAAGTAAAATACATTTTTATTCGCACTTCACGCGAAAATCCCATTTAATGTCAACCACAATGTTGATTACAGAGAAAACGTACTTTCTCCGCAAGCTCAGCTCTGAAGTGTTGCTCTTTTTCATAACTGCTGGCCAAGGAAATAGCACAGCAATAGCAACGCCGTCAGCAACACCACCAGTAGCTTTATAGTTAATACTTTGTGTATGCAATCTGATGGCTGTCAGCCAACTGGGCAGGAAGTTGTAAGACTCAACATGCTGGCATTTGACGTCTGTATCCTGTTGTTGAGATTTTTTAATGCAAATCTGACATAGTAAGCAGTTTTTTAGGTCTTAAACAGACTACTTCGTTAATTATATATATAATTGTGTGTTTTTCCAACTAATGGAGGGGCCAACAATTTATGCTAAGCCGCCTTCGAGCTGCTGGAGCCTTATTTTATGTCAGAAATATACGCGGAGAGGTTGACATTGCCTGCCGAGGGGCGATCGCAATTAGAAAATTGAACTTAATTTTTATTTAAATTAATTTTCATGGATGTTGGTGGCACCTGGATTTGAACCAGAGCCTTCCCAATTTCAGTACGCAATGCGAACCACTCGACCACTGCGGCCGCTGATGCTATAGTGGTAGCAAAAACCGCATTGACATCCACATTGACGTAGGCATTGCTAATTTGATTATATTTTCGGTGTTTGATGCCAATTGTAAATACCCAGTGAACTCAGGAGGTTCATCTCCTCACGATTCTTCCAACGGGGTGGAAGCATTGTTCTTCATCTGTTTCCTATTAACTTATAAGTTTTCCTCAAAAAATCTAATTTTTGCTCAGACTCTAGGAAGAGAATAATCCGTTTCCCGCGAAATTTACTCTATGTCGTCCGGGTCATCTAACGGGGTGTCCAGGAAACGAATTGTTTCAACGAGTTCTGATCAGAGGGAAAAGGTGTTAGATGAGCTGATTTTAGCACTCAATAAAAAGGGTGGTTAGTGCCGGACGTGGACTCTTTGTATGCAGGACACACAATAGGTTTGTCAGTATCAAGTCTGGATTGTTAAGAGTTGAGTCTACTGCAGTATTTAGATCATAAACAACGGAAGGGCTTAAGATGTTTCGCAAGACCCGAGTAATACTGGCACAATTAAAGCCTGAATAGTGCAGTAGACTCAACACCTACTTATCCAAACCTTAATTGTACCAGTCTAGCGAAGCAGCTCAAGTCCTTCCTCTGCTATGTGCGGTCGTTGTTGGATTTCTCGCACGAATAGCTGTGAATTACACAACAGTCGGTTATAAGCAACGGAGTACATCCGGATCTTATACGTCCAAGAGCTGTCACTTGGTTCGAAGCTGACGACAAAAATTAGGGTTGAACGAGACGTAACAACAATGGAAACCAAAACATTTACTGCGTCCTCCATTGGCTCGAATTCGTTTCATATAATATATAGTATTAAAAATAAATGAAATAATGAACCACTGGACACTGCGTCCTTGCAGGAAACGATATCCAATAATAAGGTTGCCTAAATTATAGCCTAGAACTATTGGAAGAAGTAATGGTCTTTTTTAAAACTGATGGTGATCTGGTAGACTCAGCGAAACCTGGATCAACACTAGTTGTTGCCAAGGCCAAAGATGGATTCAACTAAGGTAGCTCCAAACCTCTTTTATGCCTCTGTGTAGCAGTTCCAAAATGAGTACCGGAAGCCTAAATGAACGCTAATTGCTGACGCTGGACCGCGTTTGCAACGAGTACCGAACTTAATTTTAGCAACTGCGATCGCTCAGGTGCAAAATAGGTAAACTAAAGGAACCGACCTTGGTTGGAAAGAAAACCGAGAGCGAAAAAAAATGTCTCGGACGGTAGAGAAGTAGATTATGAGTTTAAAATTTCTAACATTAAACTGATAACTTCTTAATTTATAAATAAAATTTTTCTCCACAGCTCTTTTTTCATTTTTGGGAACAGGTAACAGTCACTCGAGGCCTGGTCTGGACTGTAGAGTGGGGGATTAAAAATATCGAGTCCACCTTATGCCAAGAGCAGTACAAAAGCAGCACACATTGCATAAATTTTTCCCAACTTTTCTCCTTAACAGCTTCTTTTGGTCACTTTTGGTTCTCTAGTTATCAAAAAAAAGCCTTTATTTTTATAATCGAAAATATCCTTCCGAGTCCCAAAAGATTCTTGGCATTAGTTTTCCCAGCTGACTGTAATGCCCTAAACATCTTGGAAGGTGCTTTTTATGCCACTGCATGGGCCTTATTTCGACTCAGGCTCATAATGGTGAACCCAAGTTTCGTCTGAAGTAACAATTCGACTCAAAACACCATCTTTATCTGCATTACAGAGGTCCTAAAATTCAGGTGAACACTCTGACTTGATTTTTTTGGAGGCGTGAGCTGCTCAGCACCCACCTTACGCTGATCTTAGTCATGCCAAAATGATCGTGTAGGATTTAAAAAATTGTTATATCGGATACAAGCATTTCTACTTTAGTCGAACATCGTCCAGGATAATTTTATCAATTTTTGTATAAATTTTCGCATGGTCCCTTCGATGCTCCCGCCCGGCCTCAGATTGCCTTCAAGAGATTCCCTTGTTTATTTAAATAAACTGTGCCACTTTTACATAATAGGTTCTTCCGGTCATGAATCGCCGTAAAAAAAACCTCCACGTGCCGCGAACATAACAGCGCTACCTCGTACTTGAGAATACAATTTTTTAACTTGAAACTAAAAATCCGGTATAAAGAGCTTACAGAGCTTCCAGCGACCATTTTCTCGACTACTAACCTTTACAGAATAAAAGAATTCTTCTCTCAGCTAGGAAGAAATCCTATCTTTTTCATTTGTAATCACATTCACAACTTCAAATCGAAAGAAAACTGTTATTTTAAAAATGACGTAACTCTTACGAGAATTTCGTGTAGTTGAAACCAGTAAAATTGCACTTCACCGAACCAATTTATGATAATACCAAACGACGTCTCAGAAACAAAAACAACATCAGGTTATTACATAATACTGTTGTACAAATGGCAAACTAACCAGACCGGAATACATTTGACAGCTAACCAACCGATCAACCAACCGGCGGACGGACGGACGGACCAACCCATCCAAATCCATGTCAGGAGCGCCAAATTGGGAAAGTCCACAAATATTAATAGACAACAAATACCAACTTGCTAGTCATGCCACGCAAATATTAAGTGATAAAATGTGTCGTATATACTAACATATACATACACATATGTACACAAACAACAATTTGGGACAAATGCAGTTTACTGCTAAAATGAAATTAAAAGAAAGTGGATTTGGAGTTATTCAATTAAGGCAACAAAAAGCGATATGGAAGCAATATGTAATATAGGAGTATTTGGGAATATGATGCGTGTGTGTTATGTACATACATACAATTAGTTGTGTGTCGAATTGCAAGAGGAAGGAACCGGAATCTCTGGCGGTTTTAGAGAAAGTAAAATATAATTTCATAAACTTGAAGTGTAATTTTTAAAGCTCGTAAGAGTGGGTAGAAAGCTGGTAGTGCTGTCCGTAAGGTTTTAAGCTCCGGTCCCAATTTATCATGGGTGCGTCCTTTTGATCGCTGTCGTCGAAACTTAATACTTTTGGTACTACGTTTCATTGTTACTTCCTTTCAATTTATTATTCTCTATGAAATCACAATGTGTATATCCGATAACCATTCTAGGTTGGGTCCCTCGATGGGTTGCATGTTGAGTTGTGAAAGATCTGGGCCCTCACAGAGAAAAGAAAAAAGCAGTCATTGGGTAAATCCACTTTCGACACATATGCTCCGTAGGCCCGATGACCTGCTGTTGTGGCCGTGTCTAAGCGGATGTGTGGGAGACGGCGAAATTTATTCAAGTTGAGCACTAGGCTCGATGCAAAAAGTTGTGGTCTTTAACCAATTAGATATCTGATCTGGACCTTACGAAGGTCCATTCCATTACAAACAATATGCCCTTTAGCCTTCTCACTTCGCTTCTCATTTGGGTTATGCATGCTTGCATATATGCAAGTACTTAATTCTTATACTGCCTTACTTGGACCAGATTACGTGGTACTTTAGTACACAATGTAAGCTATTTTTAGACATAATCGCCATTCATCTCCCTCTCTCTCTCTCTGCAGGTGGTGTAGCGGGGCATCAATTTTCCCATGCCTTCCTCGAAGCAGTTTCTTACGCTACTCCGCCTTGTACTTTACCTCCTTTGCCAGGTGATACAATGTATATGTATATATATCTTACCATACATAATTTTCGCCTTACTATATATCTCAAACGGTCTTCTTTTTGGTCCCATTCACTGAACATGCAACGCGCTCGATGGTTGTTCGGCTTTAATTCCAGCTCGAATCGGATTTTCGAAGCCCGCAAACTAAGATCCTTTCACAAAAATTTTCATTAAGTGGATGTTAGCGAATGAACTCATTAAGGTCGTCTTCGATACTCTGCAATACAACAGCAATATCAGCCTCGTTGTGCACTGTAAAGTGTCTCTGAGGATACCTCTTATCCCCTAACTAGACTAAACGTGGTGCGAAACCGATGGTTGCTCCAATCATCGACTCTGCTGAGCGTTTATATCGACTGAAAATTGGACGAAGCACGCGTTTCGACGAACGAGCCGAACCATTTTTTTGGTTATAAATTTGCAAACGTTGTGCCGGAGCAAGTATATTTGTTATGAAATGGCAAAGCAAACTGAGTACAAATCCAGTAACAGCTGCCGAAAAGACTACGAAAAAGATATTCTCAAAAAAAAAACACCTCTCAGTTGAAGCTGATACTCCGTTGGATAGAGAAATGGGATGTAATTAAATTCCTAGGAGTAAACCGTCATCTCCACTACGCAATACAGTTTGTA